GGAAAAATATTCGCTAAGCCCACCGAAGCTTAGCCGATTAAAAAATCGAGATGATTAAACTCCGACGCCCAAACAGAACAATTACGGCATCCAGGAAGCAATGTAGAAAATCGTTTAGAGCTACTACTGAGATCTCTTCAATAGCCACATCCTTTTTCGCTCATGTGATGTAAAGAAGGATGGACATGTCGTACCACTGGTTCTCTTTTCCGAAATCCGACATGCCATTTCGTCGGTGAAAAATCGAACAGTTCCAGGTTCAGACAGAATAAAAACTGAACACCTGATGAACCTTCCGCCAGTCCTTGTAGACACACTGGCTTGGCTCTTCACACGTTACTAAAAACTAAGGTAACGATCTGTACCTACAATGCACGTATACTTGCATCCGAGTCCTCGATGGGAGATTTGATCATGCAAGTGAGAAGGACAAGGTACGATGTTATTGGCCTGGCCGACGAGACGAAGCGACGGCACCCATTCAACGCCATCTATGACACCGGAAAACAACTGCTTCTCGGAACATGCGACAGTGGAGTAGTCAGGGATCTGGGCGTTCTCGTCAACAAAAGTTTGGCCATGAACACGCATTCATTCGAACAACTAACAACCCGAATCGGACGTTCACGATAGAAGAGATGTGGATCAATACCAGCGTGGAGAATCTTCGTCGTTTACGCGCTGACATCAAACTGTGACGAGAAGTGGGTTGAAGCTTTCTATAAGGACTTGGAAAACTTCTATAGAAAGAACCGTACATTCTTTGAGCTCATCACTGGAGATTTAAACTCTAGGACTGGACACAGAGAACGTCTGAAGAAGGTCACATTAGGACCCACGGATTGGAATGGAATGAGTAGAGTATGCAGCTATCTGAGTTTACCGTGGCGACCAAAACCATCCATGGTAACTTGAAAATCCAGAAATCGTACTCTCGACGCTGGAAGTGGGAGTCTCTCAGTAGGAAGTAGCATAACGAAACATTCCGCAGCATAGTAAATCGACGATTTTGCCTAATCGATGTCGCTATTATCCCAAAACTCTACACGGGATCAGACATCACCTCTTTTGTGCTAGACGTCATTTACTACGAAAACGACAGGAGGCCGATTGGTTCAAGAAAACAAGCCCCAGAAACACCATTATTTCGGACTTATTCAGTTCATTAATTGGCTGTGGAGAAGATGCCGTTCTTAATAACAACGATGAGGAGTACGATCGGCTCATTCAACATCTACACTTCGGCGTTATGAAATCTGATAGATCGAAAGACACCAAAAGACGTCTACATCGAGAAAAACTTGAGCTGATACGCCAGTGTAGAATCGCACGAGGTACAGGAAACCATCAACTCACGTCCGGATTTGCAGAACCATGCAGACAGGTGTTAAGAGATGATCTTATTGAGAGGGCAACAGCAGTTATGGTCGAAGATGCAGAGGCTGGGAAAATCATATGCAAAGCATGCCAAAGTTCCGTCAATTACAAGACTAAGATCATTGCACTACGACGCCCAGACGGAACAGTTACAGTTTCCAGAAATGTGATGGGAAAACCATTCACGACTACTACTCGGGTCTCTTTAATAGCCACGTCTTTCTGTCCTTACATGAAAGAAAGGAGGATGGGTATATCGTAACACCAGTTCTCCCTTTTGAAATCTGACATGTTGTTTTGTAGTTCAAAAATCGAACAACAGCAGGTCCGGGCAGGATGAGATCTGAACACCTCAAAAACCTTCCACCAGTTCTCGCAAACAGCGAGTTTCTAAAGCGAGAAAAATCACTGGAATACTGTTGTACCCGATCACCGTGAGAGAAATGGAAGATTTACTGGCTCCCGCCCGCTCCAGTCATTCGACGGGTCGAAAGATGACAACAGATAAGGTGACGAAGAACCATCCACCTGCACCACCTGTAGCACCGTTGATCGTCGAGTGAATCGAGCGGGCGCCAGTAAATCTTCCATGTATCCCGGTCACGGGCAATAATAGCCCAGTGGGTTCTGCTCGCTCTAGAGACTCGTAGAGCATCACACCTTTCTTCCAGGCTTTTCGTGAAGAACTCTGACAATCGGGTCGATGGTCTTCCTGTAGTGCGTTTAAGATCCCGAGGAATCCTCTCACTAACAGCTCTTGTCCATAGGTTGTCGTTCATTTGCATTACGTGTCCGGTCCATCTTATCTTCGACTGTTTGGCGTACAGAACAGTATCTCGGATCCCTTCCCCTACTTGTGTGAAACGGGATACCCCTTGCATCGTCCTTTCGACTACGTATTCAATAACACTGAGTGATCTTTCACCCTGCTTATGCAGCAATTAGGTTTTCGACGCATAAGTTAAGGCAGGAAGTATTGCGGATTCGACAACATGGGCACGGAATCGGGCGTTCTTTGTTCTCTTCACTACATCCTCGATGCTCTTTAAAGCTTCCGAAGAAGCTCGTTCCACCCTGCTGAAGCCTGGAGCTAAGTTGTTCATGATATTGATTTACCGACCTAAACAAACGTAATTGGAGCAATAGGAGATATTCGTTTTGTTGACGATGAATGGCATACGTAACGAATTTGTTTCTCATGAACCTGGTTTTTGTGAGATTTAGTCGAAGATGAACCTTTTCACAAGCGCTGTCAAAGGTGGCAAGCATTCGTACCGGCTGGCTAATGCTTGATGTATAAGAACGATGTCATCAGCAAAACGAAGGTGGTGCATTTACCGAGCAACGATTTCCACGATTTGTCCCAATTCAGTGTTCGTATGGCTTTCTCGAGGGTAGAAGGCTAAATAACTTTGGTGAAATGGTATCGCCTTGTCTAACCCCTCCTTTGACGCAGATGTTTGCATCATCGTAGAATGGAGATTTGTCGGTTGTGGAATCTTTACATAACTCACGAAGAATCTTTATACAGTGAGTAGTTACTTCCTGATTGTCCTGTCTAAGGTTCCATGACTGCTTCTATCTCAATTTGAGTCAAAGGCCTTCTTTAAATCGGTGAAACTGAGACAGGTCTTTTGTACTCTCGCGCCAATTCAGTGACTCTTGTCATCGCGTGGATGTGGTCCACCAAACCGAATCCTTTTCGGAACCATGCTTTGCCCACATGGCTGCCTTTCGTCCAGTGTTCTGTCAATCATCTTGACGGAATGTTCTAAAAAGGCCAAATGCCACTTCCGTAGATTCTTCTATTTGCTAGATACTGTAAACGTATGCGAACTATATACTGTGACTGCCAACAAATTATGATTGGTGTGACAGTTTCAAAATATCAACTATTTATTATATCATTACCATAGAGTCTGAGAACTAAAAGAGTTTGCATGAGAAGCTTAATTGTATGTCATGAGAAGTTATGTCAACATGTTATAATAAGGAATCAAAGAAAATGAGAAAGCAGACGTGGACACAACAAACGGGCCATAGTGCCTTTGAAGATGAATACAAAAAGTATAGGTTATAGGAAAGTCTGCTAAGTTCTATTACAAAAAACAGCAAGCGATTGAACAGGGTACACATTTGACATGAGAAACTGGAAGCTGAATATTACATGTGATAAGGAAGAAAAAAAATGATTAGTGAAGCAGACAATTAAAGCAGATGTAATTTTGTCGATCCGTTCGGATCATTCAGGATTCACGTATACTTCTATCCAACTCTACGATATCTTCTTCACTATCGAAATCCTTAAACATTATGCGAGCTTCTGAAAGCAAGCCGGAAATGAGTTATTTCATTATTTCACTCGTTGCCAAAGTCATACATCTATGAAACAACAAAAACAGATGAACCACATACTATATTGTGAGATAGCGAAGGGAAAGGTAAATGCTTTCTGTCGTTTTAGATCCCCTAGGATTTTCTTCTAGTGGTTACTAATCGAGATGAAAACATCAGAGCTGACATATGGATCCCTAGATCAATCCCGTTGACGGGTGATTGCTGACGGCATTGATCGATAGAGCTAGCTGAGAGACAGGCGAAACGAAGGACCTATATGGTGTGGTGGTGAACGCGTTACTCCCCGAAAGGACAATAGCACGTTCGTTCCTCACCGCATACACCTGTGGACCGGAGTTTTGAAAATATCTCAGCAATCTTGTGGTTGTATTTCGCTAAATACCCTGCCATAAAAATTATAGAAGGCAGAAAATAAGAAATAAACATTGAGAACTGACATATTCTTACTACCGTACTCTCCCGAATGTACACATTCCCCGAATATTCATCGATTTCAATGCTGCCAATCTCATCGGTTTACAAAAAGTGTAGGAATTGCCCACCGTTTTCTCGGATGACGATTTTAAAGAATTTTGTATTAGAGTGGATTATTCGAAACATCTCGGTCCTTAAATCATCAGGAAGAGATTGCAGACCACTTTGCTCCTGAGTGAAAAAACGAAAATCATAAGAAGTAGGAATATGACAGGAAACAAAGTATTGCTCATGGGGACTGTGAGTGATTATTTTATGTTAAACTGGTGTGAAAACCACTGTCTTCAATGGAGACCTTGCGAAAAGACGGGAAAGAATAGAAGTACAGCAGAGATAATTTAGTAAATTTAGTGTTTTTTGATGAAGAACTGAAATAGGGACCACTTTCAACGATATGCTGTTCGGAACATACAGGAACCACCATAGGGGTTTTTTTTCGACGAAATTTAGTATGAAAACCTTCCACATTTCTTCAACTTCGGAGAGTGTCAATGGTCTTCTGTTCTTGCAGAAAACCGAAAATAGAGCTGATCGAGCGTCTTTCCTAAGCGCCATAAGGTCTACAATCAAATAGTTGTACTCCGTCTCCATAAAAACAGAACATGTGACCATCTTCTACAGTCTTTGCAATGAATTGACAAAAATCCACAAATATATACACATTAAGAGTGAATACACTGATTTTGTGCCGCTCGTCTGGTGAACTCGTGCAGTCTTCCAGCATTTTCTCGAATTGAATTATAGATGCACTCGTTAAGCCTTCTAAAAATATTAAATAGCCAAACGCATTATCAGTTCCGATATGAAACGCTCAAGTCCTACAGATTTGGAATGCAAATTCCATGAGTGTATCGTCGACATTCTGGACATCGATCATCCCAGTTCACAGCTTCATCGAGGCACAATTCACAGAAAGAGTGCCCACAACGCAGGACATAGGCCTTAAATATTTCAGATAAACAAACCACCACTTTGCTCTCTTTGCGAAAAGCCACGAGGTTTCTTCGCAGCAAAACTTATTTATCTGGTTTAAATGTTTCACATGGGAGTGGGTAGCAACACAGTGGTAGTGATTCCGTTTACTACGCAGACGGCTCAACTTACCCATGCTCTGAGTCGACTCTGCACTGGGTCCACCAAGTCTCTTATCTCTCCGGGATTGGAAAATTGGCATCACACTTGTCTGGAGTAAGATGACTCCTCTAATCCACGTGGGAACGCTGTGGTACTGCTATCCCAGAATAATAGAGAAAATCGAACTCGAACAGGATGCAATGACACCCGTGACGAAGACGAAAAAATCGCCAAGCAATAGCCGAAGCTACGCGCAAAGCAGTTCGAACACCCTCATGGATGCAAGGAAAGGAATAAAATGCAAACAGTGTTGGGATTTGCACAATATATGGGTATGTGATGGCTCAGGTTATGTAAAAATTGCTCGAATTAAACAAAATAAGTTACGATTATAGGATACATGAACCTTCTTCGACTAACATGTCAGGGAAACTATTGGAGTGGTATGTGATTTCCGGAAGTCTTTTTGTTTTAACACGCGCTTATGCACTGTTTGAAGACTTCGTGGGCTACTTTATTCTTAAAGAGTACAAGTAGAATAATGACATGTTATGCTACTCGGATAACGACTATCCGAGGAACCAAGCAAAGACTTGAAAGGTGCTTAAAGAATTTAAAAATGTGCATAACATGGGAATTATGTAAAATTCTTTACCATAAATCAGCAAGTCTATAAACTACCCTCAACTCGTGTCGATAAACTACTTGGATACTTGAATGGCCCGTCCTCACTGGTTGGACCTTAGCATATTTTCTGCGTTTTCGGAGTTTTGCTGGTCTAACCATCGTGGCTCCTCGGAGTCCCGAGGTCAGCCTGGCCAAAGTCCACTCCAGGTCGTCACTACATCAAGCAGTCGCGGCCTTTGTGGATCACAGGTAGATTTGCCACCGTGCGACTAGTTTCATATGGAAAGCCGGACTCCTCAGGTTGGAAAACTCTGCCGAATGGACGAATCCCCCGCTGTATATCGCAACCCGACACATAGGAACACCTCCTAGCCATGATGAGACGGTAAACCGCTGGGAGAGTGTCGATAAATCATGACTACCAATTCATAAATATGTGGTTGAGTCTTCTATCTTGTAGAAGGAAGGAGTGAACATAAGATTTCTGGATGTATATCGTGTACTCCAGTTGCTAGACTTTTTAAACAGAATCTTGCCTCGTTTTAGAGCGAAAGAAAGGAAAAAAGGAAGAAAAAGAAAATAAAGAAAAATTGAAACCCAAAAAGACTAACTTGAACCATAACATCCAGACATATAGGACACTTGGTGCAATCAATGGTCATCTATAGGAGGGCGGCTGAGAATGAAGTGTGCTAGATGCAAATGTCACCATACAGAATTATCAGGATCGCTCCTAGGCATTCTGGTACGTCCAGGACGACGGAAAGGACCAGAGGCTATGCCATAACGACCAGTCCTATCTAGGGCCTCAACGATCTGTTCCTCGCAATTGACCGATTTGCCTACATGATTCGAAAACTCCAGCACTGATTCAGTTCATCTCGTTGCCTTGCCACTCATACAGGTGTATGGCTTGACGTGTGGACCCAGAAGAGGGTTCAGGATCAGTAGCCTTTTCTTTTCACTAACTCGCTAGGTGCAGGTTGGCTGTGGTTTTCCTTGGAGTTTGATACAGTAGTGCTAGGGCTCTCGCCGCTGCCTTCATCACAGGCAGTCACCGGATCAATTGCGTCGAAGGGAAATTCACTGGTTTGTCATTATGGTTCGATCTTCTTTAAGTTGTCGTTTCAAAGCTGGAGTGGAAATCGATGCACTTCGTTTGCGATGCACCTGTCCGAACAGCACTCAACTTTTTTGTTCCCACCATTCTTTCCGCCTTAGCTTACTCTTCAAAAAGATAGAGTCTACGCAGGCAGAGTGGATGACTTACTAATTTAATAAGTAACGCGTTAGGGAGATGCTAAGAGTAGGTCAAATCACAGCACTGGCTTTCTGTTAACCTTAGCACTAATCGATAGTCATTCATCCAGTGTTTTCTTGAATAGATGATACGAGGTTGTGATTAGACCATTTCATCACAACAGCAGACTTTTCGAAGGTTCGGCCTTCGTCAGAATCGGGAGTGATTAAATTGACACGCAATATACTCAGTCAAGCATTTAACATCAGCAGATTAACATCTACACATGAATTTTCATTCGCATGGGAAACAGCTTTTCTAAACATTCACCGCTCTGTTCTTTGTAAACCTTCCAGTTATTCGGTGGAGACTAGCCGCACAGAAACTTACACGGGTAAGGAAATAGCCCGAGCTATGGGGCAAGTCACGCGTGACCACAGGGCTCTCCTCCTCGCCCTTTATTTTTGGGTGTTTAGAACTTATCGAAAGTGCCTCGAGGGCTTTACGTGCTGATGTTTTAGATTCCACTGTGAAGATAGTGAGTTTTACTCAAAGTCTCCGTCTTGCATTTGTTCCATATACGTGCCTACTGGAGTGTTATGTTTGATTTTAATTTTCCCAAGTATGCGCTTTTACACGGACACAGTGGTCCCCCGTTTCGCCAAGGTATTCGTCTTCACATCCTTTACAAAAAATCAGTTACACCGTAAACGAACTCACGCAGTCATCGCCTCTACCGTTAGCTAAATTATGGAATTTTGCATTGTTCGTAAACAATCATGCAAATGATTACGACAGGCTTCTTCGAGTATTGGGTAATTCAGTCACTACCACCAAATTCTCAAGAACGGCTCTCTTTAAACAATTCGCTCCAGCTGTACTTATTTTTTTGAAAATAAATAGCGGCATAAAAGAGACCTTATTTACGCCGAACTTATTCGTTTGGGGGAGTTCCTTTTTCAGTACACCTATCCCGAGGAGCTACCAATTCGTGGCCACTGAAAGTGGTTGTTTGCCGCCCCGGTTTAGAGATTCCTCCTTCTGCCCTCTTTCTGTGGACACATTAGTGGCTGACCGAAACATGTTCCTCACAAAGCTCCTTTTCGTTTGTAAAGAGTAAGAGGGGAGAAGCCAGTGTGTTCTTATTATGTGGTTCTCTGTACCGTTTGGTGAAGTAGTCGTTTTAGGATAGGTTAATTTGAACGTTCAGGAATGCAAGCTAATTTTGTTTCGGTTCCTTTCGGGTAAATTTCATGCACTCTGACCATTTTTCTGATAATTCAAAACACTTGTAATCTACTCTTGTATGCAAAAGATGACAAAACAATCATCCGTACATCTACGTAATGGCCGGTGATCGATTATTTGAACTTCTATTTTAGACATAAATTCAATGGCCAGGCTTGGTGCCAGTCGCTGTGCCGACCTTCTCATTTGTGCGAAATACTTTCCAGAACATCTGAAGATTGAGCAGTTTGGGCAGTCCTCTGAGAGGACCATCAGCTGTTAAATCCAGAAGCCATACATGTCTATTGCTCTGTTGTGTCGCATAGTTAGTTCCAGGATGGCTTGCATACCGGAATCATTCGACACGTTTTTATAAAGGACTAACGTCCAAGAACTCCATCGCGTACGCACTATTTGAAGATGCGTTATGTAGAAAATCCAGGAATATTTAGATGTTTGCCAGATAGACTGCGATGTGTTCTAGCAACTGCATGAGTACTATATTTATAAAAAAAAAAAACCCTACCCTATCCGTGAGCCCATCTACGTAGCTGATGATTGGCCTAACGTTGAACGTTTATGCACAAGTAGATGCAATATCACCGAGGGATACCAACTTAATCAAGGTCTATTTGACTAGCTTTTACCTTATTTAACTACCTTGTACAACACGTAATTCAAACCGCAGGACGTATTATATGTCACAACGGCACGACATGCAAGGGCACATTCGAATATGCTAAGTTTTCTCCGATTAGAAGATAAAAGGGTAAAGCTCTCTGCGTTGATCAATCTTCGGGGAATGTACAATGCATTCGATTTCATTAAGTATCGTTGGAAGTAACTGAATGCATAACTGGTCTTTAAAATAACTCGCGGGGGCCCACCGATTTATCGAGCCAGTGGTGTTATCCTCCCAGACAAGTCTGGTACCAATTTGCGAACCCAGCAAGGATGGAAGGCTTGGTGGGCCATGGACGCTGGGATAGATTCCACGTGTGTTGCAGAGCACCACCGACCACTGCGCCACACCCTTCTCGTAGCGGCAAGGAATCCTGCAACTAGTCGGTCGACCACTCAAGGACTGTGTAACAAGCGAAATTCCGTATTAACCTACGTCCAGAATTATTATGCAGGTACTACTGCTTACGAATGGTGCAGCGTAATTAAAAGAGGTGAATTCAGAGCCCGATACCACTTCAACAACAGAATGTTATCAGGACTGAGAAAAGAGTATGTTCATGTAACTTCAATGATGCTGAGATATTTGCAAAACTTCCCGCAGGTCCGCAGGTGTCTACAGTGGGGAATGAACCTGAGACACAGGCGAAACGAAGGGCCCGCATGGTGTGGTGGTGAACGAGTTACTCCCCAGAAAGGACAATAGCGCGTTCGTTCCCCACCGCAGACACCTGCGGTCCGGAGTTTGCAAATATCTCAGCATTATTGAAGTTATATTTCGCAATATACTCTGCTATTAAAAAGAGTAGACAGTAAATAAAACGGTTAAGATTATGTTCATGTAATTAATCTATAACATGTTATAACGTGTCAGGTAGAACCTTTCATTTTTCTACTAACCATATAGACAATTCTTTTGACAAACTACAACCGCATTCTTCAGACAGAAAGACATTCCACCGTCTCTGCTAAACCTATCTGGGAAGAGCTCACTCTCTGCAACCCAAGTGGGAGCACTCTCGTAGACCTAGTTTAATATTCCATGGAGAATCAGCCCAACCAGCATACAGTGACACTCGTGGTGAAGAAAATCCGCGAGCAGTAACTGTGAACGGAATGAGCTTTAAAGGGCGTGATTGGACGAGTTTCCGGCGGTCACAGAGAGAATAGGAGGCCGAACACATATGACTAATCAGACTGTTTCCCTACCGTCTTTGAAACAGTACTGTGAAGTCCGCTCTTCCTTAGTAGTTCGTGGTTTGTTCCGAGAATTAATTATAGTTATAGTCCGGAAAAACTGGCCGGAATAGCTATGAGTGGCGTGGTCCTTCTACCTGTACAAGCTTTTCTTCAACTGTACTAACTGCCAGTATTCCCATTCACCAGCTGTCATCGCTGATCAGGTTCAACCTGTGGTTTCAGATTCTGTACGGCCACCTGTTTCGCCAACTGTAGCTGTTCATCAGTATGGATCGCGAAACATTCGTGAAGGGGCAGGTTCGTTTCCATCAGGCTTTCGCCGCCTAGTCATCAAAATTCTTGATGGGCATTACAGCTCGAAGCAGTGCATAAAGCTCTCACCAAATACGAGGTGCCACTTAAACCGAAGCATGCACGTCGTCTCATTGTGGGAAGTCATCAGGAAAGGTGTAATCTATTGTTCGGACCTTTTGACTCCCTAGGTTCTTCTAGTGTTCTGTGCTGTTTATGGAATCTATTTTTCAGATCATCGGCAGTGTTTTGGAACGCCGTTAACAGGATTCAACTTGAGAAGAACCCCGTGATGACATGGAAGGTGTGTCATTAAAAATCTGTTCGCTCGAGCTCATAAGTTCTCCTCATCCCTCCATTATTCATTGAGTTTGCCATTCAGTTTTGCCATCTTCTTCACAAACTAATTCGAGATGGTCACAGGAAGGTTCCTGAGGAATCATTTAGGTTGTTGTTCTTGTTCAATCCTGATTTCATTTACTGAAATAGATTCAGTCTGTTTCAGTAGAACCACTGTTTAGGTTCATCTCCAGGATAAAACAATTAGGCCAGTTCTGGAAGCACCTGAATACATCTGGTTATGGTATCTGTAATGAAACGTATTGCAGGCTGTTGGTAGATAGACTGGAATTTCATAAAAAGGCAGTTAGAATTTACTCTAGCGCAGCATCTATAGAATAAACGTAACCGATATCACTTGTTTCCAGTACTCTGTAATGCCGGGTAGCCTAATCTTAACTGAATCACAAATCAAAACACTCGAGAGTGATCTGGACAATGCTTTTGAAATGACGATAGACATGGTTGATCAAATGGACAACTTGTTGAGTCTACAAGCGAAAGGTGAGGCGGCTCCCGCGGGAGTTGTACCGTTTGTTGTATGTTTTAGATATTCTATGTGTAATTTTAGTGTACGACGCGATGGAATGTCTACGTTGGAGCTCATTGGTTCCTCAAGGTCAATGTTTGCTTGCACCACTAATTCTGGTTATTCTTGATTCTAGCAAATTTTACGACTACTTGGTTAAAATGATTTTTAAACTTCATGGACGGTTACCTCCTGATGCTCTAGAAGGACACCGGACCAGATTCAGGGTAACTTTCGTACCCTACATATCATAAGGAAGTGATCATGACCTTAAGGTGAACTTGGTGGTGCTGCATCATTCATGCTTTTTCAGGACGTTTTTCTTCGTACTAAAAAGTTTTATGAGGAATCAAGTAGTCTTCAGTACTTCAAGTATTTGGTGTCTATTCCAACGTTGCCATCTGTATGTAGCTTACGTCTAGTTTATTTATCTTCGAGGAGCTTTGATCACCGTTTCTAGGCACCACCGAACTTTCTTCAAGCTTCCGACCTGGATACTTATCAGACACCACACGCATATCTGCATTCAGAAGGGTTAGAAGATAGCCAGTCAGTTGCTCCTGATGAGGTGTTGCTGGAACTTGGTGTGGAAGAACAACATTCACAACAACAGCAGTCAAGTGCTACTTACGACGTAGACCCACGGTGCGTGAAGTTAGTTTTGGATCTAAACAGAGAAATATATGCAGCCGCTGTATCGATTGCAATAGTGGTAGAATACACTATAAGTATTGTTCGCTGTTGTTCCAGACCGTTAGTGTTATACATTTGAACATCTCGTTGATGTGCCTATTTGCCCAGCCCAAAACTGAATTTTTCTTTTAAATCTCATATGGCATCGTCACATCGGCCGCGGTGATCTCAGCATTCCTGCATTCCATTCATTTCTTCGAACTTATTGTCCACTAGGGTTGCTGAACTTTTCACGCGTGGCTTCGGATGATGCTTAAGGATTGTTGCCATGTTTACGAATGTCGTCGAGTGCTGGTCGAGTCGAAGGACTTTTGTGCTAGAGCATTCCTGCTTGGATTTGAAGGAGTTAGGCTCAGACAAGTTTGATACCAATTTTCCGGCCCCCGAAGGATGAGGGCCTTGTTGTGCTCATGATGGAGTTGGACCAACACAGTGCTTGTGATGAACGGCATCACTATCACTGCGCTGCCCGCTCCTTACTGCAATTTTTTCCTTAAGTTTGCTATTGGGATACCGTTGCGATATTCGAAGAAGACATGGTTATCCCATTCAATGAGTGTATCAAAATTTTAGGTAGAAGTATATTATTGTGTTGTTCCTAAGATTGCAGGTCGAAACAAACTTGTGTAGACATAACTAACTTAGATCACCTTTTATTAGAGGTTTATCTAAAGTTTTAATTAGAAATGTTGGATATCACTATGTTTAACGTACACCATGCGAGGAAAAGGCTTTTAGGAAGTTGTTTATCACGTGTTCCTTGTTTACGGTGTTAAACGATTGCTTAAAATATGGTTTTAATCTTTAGAAGTACTGAGCTTACAATTTCTTATGCTTTATACTTATAGCTAACTATAGTAGTTCTCATTCCTATTACATTGGAAACGTAAATATGTTTAAATGGCTGTAGTAAAGTGTAAAGCAGGAAAGACATAGCGAAATCGCAGTTATATTTCCCAAAATAATGAAGTGAAGGTTTTGCGGTGTTTGAATATAAAAAGCTGATAAGAAGGTGCTTATTGGGAGAACATAACTCTCTTAAATATTCTTTTGTCGTCACGGAGGAAAATGTGGATTTCCTACGTACAGCGTAACTCCCGATGCCTAATTTTATGTGAGCGAGTGCGAACACGTGTATTACTCATATGTTACTCGTGCGAAGCACTTAGGCCTCGGTGGCTGGACATTGAGAACCTTTGTAGGCAAATTCTTTGTAGTACACCGTCGGTACCAGGACTAATTACTTGCTGCATGGTTGATGTGAAACGACGGGGGAGACGGACGTGGTGTCGTCTCCATTTATGTTACTCTCAGCATCTTTTACCCTTCCAAACAGCAATGGTTTCTGCGTAAACATGACACAATTTTTAGGAAAAATAACTTTTTGAAGACTCTATGGTGTTGAAAATAGGTTTTTCTCGAACAAAGTTTAATAAAAACGTGTATTCTTTCTTTGGTGAGCTTACACGAGGTTGATAATGATATTTATTTTCGGGTAAGGTTTCGACGTCTTCGTCTTCCTCAGAGCCGATGGTCCACGCTTGTTATTCGTCTCGACGTGGCAACTTCGCCTTCATCCAAACAAGTTATTATCGCACTATCGCCGGATAATCACAGCTATCCACCATCAGCAACCTGCATAAAAGGGCATCACTGAGTGGGGATGCCTCATTCGAGGAGATGGCGTACTGAGGAAGACCTGACTCGACACAGAGGCGATGCTGCCACATCGAGGAGACGAATAACAAGTGTGGACCCTCGACTCGGATCATGGGTTCTGAGGAAGACGAAGACGTCGAAACGTTAGCCGAAAATAAATGCCATTATCAACCTCGTGTAAGCTTATCAAAGAAAGAATGCATATTGATTAGTGATACCGAAGTTCAAGGAAAATCGGTTTCGAAATAAAAACGTGTGTTTGATATTGTTAACCTTTTACTTATTACCTATTCATTTTTCTTGGTGGGGGAATGATGTAAAATGCAATGACAAGCATGCTAAGGCATGAGCAAAACTTGGAACCTCATTTGGACCTCGAACCCACGACTACCTTTACCGGGAACTCTCTCTAAATGAAGAGTTCGTATAGCTGAGAGGAAGGCAAAGCAAAGCCTTCGGTTGGTGTGGTGGATAACACACTAACCACTGTGCCCTCTTGACAAATTATACATAGCAAAAATGAATTAGCATTTTGGCTGCGGGCAAGCGTTTTTCAAAACCTACCATTGTTTGATCTCGGCAAGAATAATCAATACCGTTTTAGATTATTCACCTAACACGAGGTTACCTGTGTGAGTGAAATCCATGCGCATGAGGTTTTCATGAAATTTTATTCGATTAACGTTTTAACGCGCGCGTAGCGCAGAGGATTCTTTATAAAGATTCCAAACCATATCCAAGCTCTCATATGTATTGATTTCTTTAGTAGATTGTACTGTGCCACTTGATCCTTTTTCTTTGAAAGCGTTCCATCGCTTCGAGCTAGAATTCGCAAATTGAGGTGGTTCTCATATATTGCAACAAGACTTGCCGAGTGGGGTATAATAATAGCAATGGGTAATTCCTGTTGCTACAAATAATGTCTAATGGATGCGAAGTGAGCGCCATGGGAAGTTGAATGGTGTCAGTTGCTTCTGCGGGTAAGTACTGTGAAAAGTTCCAACGAATTCATTACGTGTAACTATTTTGCAGCTGTACTACATTGTTTGTAAATAGATGTGTTCAGTTTGAAATATTTAATTTGTTCTTGTGAAGGTAATCTTAAATTGCTTATTATTTTCTCTTCTCAATGGTCTTTGTAGGTGTACTGGATAGCCCGTCTGTCCACGGTAAGGATAATCACAGGGTCGAAGCCTATCTGGGGTTCCGAGTTTTGCTCATATCTCAGCATTCCTGTGGTTGTATTTCACATCGTACCTTGCCATGAAAAATTAGAATTATTTTACTAAAGTTTTGGATGCCCTAATATGAGTGAAGCGATTGTATATGATGGTATATGAATAAAAATGAAGGTATATGTAAGCATATGCAGGTGTTGACGTGGTAAGAGAGAGTTGTAATGATGGTGGTATTTATAGTAAGGGTGAGAAAGAAAATGTGGATCTATTTTCAGAGACGAGCAGATTTTATCACTTGCTCGAGACTTGGAAGATGAGCGGTTCGCGAAGGAAAGGCTAATTACAGAAGCACGTTCTCGCATTGAACAGTACGAGAATAGGTTGGCTCAAATGCAGAGCGAGTACGAGTACACAAAAAGGGAGGCTGACGAAGCTCGTGAGGAATGTGATAGTTTGCGCAGTAAGGATTTCTTATATATTTTACTCATATTCACTATAATTTTTTTTCAGTTGCTAAATATGCTGAACTGGCTGATAATAGAATTTGTTTTCTAATCGTGGAGAGTGTTTTTCTAAACGGTTTTCCCTGATTTAAATTCAGAGGCATTTTAATAATACAGTAAAATCGTTAAGAGTCCGAATAGTTTACGTATAGATGTATACAATGGAGTGTACGGATAGATGGATAATGCAATAGTCATGAGCTTTGTGCATCTATGACAACAAATACTAGCAGTTAAGGTGAAGATAGTTGCTGGCTTAAGGGTTCAGCTGATTACTGTAATTTGTCAGCCCACATTTGGTGCTGTAAATCATCGCAACAACTGACGAACTGAGTTGTGTAGGCAAATCTGCGTCTGTTATTTGATTACTGCTCTCTATGGAAAGATCCCAATGCAGCTCCCGCTCCTTTTCATCATTTGATGAGTGCCTTTTCTGGGGTTATTTCATGTTGCCGAACACCATAAGCACACGGGTATTGGGCTATATTGCGCAACATTGTTGTACTACCGGGTGTAGTCTTTACTGGGAGGTTGGAAAAGAGGATTAACAAGTACATCTGGGCGTAGTTACCAGTTTTTTCGTATTCTGATGTGGAGAAGAAACTGCGCATTGGCACTTCATAAATCTTGGGTCCTTCCCTTCTCTAGGTTTGTCGCCATCTACGTTGCAAAGTGTTTAAATGGCAGTTTAACATCGGAGAAAATAGACACGGATATTTTGGACGGGACACTTTACAGCTTTTTAGAAGAAGGAATCCGGATTTCTACGGATCACGTGCGATTTGTGTACGCGATCTAAATTCTTTTTTTTTTGAGTACTGTTCCGGTGATCTTCTGCTTGCATGTCGTGATGGTGGTTGGATTTTAGATGTGATGATAATGTTGTGAAAAACTTTCGCCAAATATGTCCTTGTCGCCTTGTCGTATCCACCTTACCTTTTATCTCTGGGCGATGGCAGCGATTTTGTATCTATGGACAAGTAGAATTTGGCATAGAATGGGTGATAATCACAAGATACGTTGCTGTAGTGCACAACGTGAGTGGCACCTATGCGAATGCGCCTAATTGTTCTGCGCTCGTTGTGCAGTGAAAAGTTTCTCCTGAAAAAGTCTTGTAAATTCTTAACCACAGAGAATAACTTTTAACGGACCACGTTAGGTACAGGATCTATTTTGGTTAAGCTATCGATCGAATGCAAAAAGCATAGGTAGAAACTGCGAAGAAACAATCTACATTGATGCCAATGCATGCTGTCGCTGTGCGTTCATAAGTACCATCACTCGAAGAAATGTGGATGGTGTGCACGGTTTTTTAAACCATATTCATGCTTTTTTTTAACAGGAGACTTAGCTGCTAGGGATGCGCTTCGTGAAGAAAGCGACGACATTCGTGTACAAGAAGCGAACGAGCAGGCGCGTTTGGCTGATGAGCGATTTGGAAAAATGAAGGCGGCTTATGAGAAATTTCGTTCTGAACACGTAGCGGTTGGTGATTTTTCTTCGGATTGAATTCAATAGTGACTATGAGAAAACCGGAAAAAACAAGTTCATCTTAGGCGCTTACTAAACTTTGTGATCTACAGAAGGAGTATGATGCTAGTGAGAAGTCTAGAATGGATAAAGAAGAAGAGGTAGGCGGCATGACTGGAATACTTCTTATGCAACCCAAAAAATGATGTCTGCATCAATAGTGCTTTCTTGGGTTATTGAGCTAACACGATATTGATTTAAAAAAAGTTTATTTTAGTTGACGACTGTACGTCGACAACTTGAGGAAAGCGAGAAGAACCGTACGGCTGTATTGTCGAAGGCGGAATGTGATGCAAATGCTGTAGGTGAGCTGCGCATGCAACTAGCCAAGGCTGACGTTGAAGTAGAGGAATTACGAAAGGTCCTCTTTTGGTTGTTTTACGAAATATACTCCTATTATTTCTGATTCGGTTTCTTCGGTTTACTCCTTTAGACTTTGGAAGAAACAAAAGCGAATCACAAATCGGAACTTATCAGTTCACTGGATCGCTTGGTAGATGAGAAAGCTGCAGTTGAAAGAACATTAAATGGTACGCTAAGATTCGTATTTTCGTAACTTTATTTAAATCTTCCGTTCTTCTTACGAATTTTGGTGGAAAAGTGCGCTTTATCTGTTTTTCCAGTTCAAGAATTATTAGGTTGTTCGGAAATTAATTATCGATTTTAAACATGTATGTGCAAAATGCCATATCTCACCTCAGAATAAACTTCATTAGTCGTTAACCCCTTTTATGGACACTATATCATCAATAACGATTTGGACCAAGCGACCGTATAGACATATTAAGTTTAGAGGGTTCCAAAGTATTTTAGCGGATTCTATATACCCACTGGATGGTTAGTCGAAAGCGGATCAAAACAATAGGGATGAGACTAGAAAATCCATTTTCTGCGCTTAATACCCTGTCGGACGAGTTTATTTAGCGACGGTGCCCCGTAAAATACGGCAATTAGAAAAATACACTGTGTACAGGAAAATAGTGAATCCAGAGGATTTCATACATCTTATTTAATAACAAATATGTAGTTAATAGTAGTTGGCCACCGATGTGATTTACCGCGTTGCATGTGTAGAATCAATTCCCAATCCTTACTTTCGCAATTTTTCACTGATGTGTTTGAAATTAGTGCTCGAAACCACCAAATTACAATCTAAACGTTCACAATTTATGAAGTTGCTTTTGTACATAGGTAGTGGGATTTTGTTGAGCCGAGCGAGATTGAATTAGACAGCATACTATTAGTGTAGGAGAAACCTCATATTCTTCAATCAAAACTAGGTGTTCCTTCTGTAGGTGTGAGCACCACATGTTTGGTTAATCGTCGGGGTTATTTGTGAAATGAGCAAGTAATGTTGAAATATTCGCTAATTCGCTATAGTGAGTTATCTTGAAAGGATTTGCGGAATTTTTTAATTTGTTTCACTACTTCATAACCACAAAATCTGTTCAACTGCTGCAAGAAATTAGCCTTAATTACATGGAGTGTTTTATCCTCACTGGGATATTGGAAAAATTTCTTATCGAACCTAATTTTCTCTCGAATGACGAGATAGCACTGGCACAGCGTTCCCATTTGATCATCAGAAATGCCAACCGACTATCCTGAATGGGTTTTCTTCCGGACAACATTGGAGGGATTTAACGGACCAGCCTGCATTTTCTTAAGCTTCACTGCAATCACTAAGCATAAGAACATTTACTTCATAAAAACATTACATAAACGTACATAATCGCTTGTCATGTAACCAACAATGAACAGCGAACAGTCGGAAAATATTGACGTAATACTTATGTTACGGAGTCATCAACCGAGAATGGATGTAGGTAGGGGCAACAGATATCTATTCCTAGAAAATATTAGATGACTACGTGTAAGAAACGTAGTATTTTTCAGCTATGGGCAAGAACGATTCGTAAGAACTACCGAAAGGAAAGATTTTAACACTTACTAGATCCTTTAACAGCAATATCTCATATTTTCGTCCGCATTTCTACCTTCTTGCGAACCACTATGGAGTGTTAGTTGATTTAAGACAGCTCTCTCCTCTAGAAACTTCAATTGTCGAACCTAAAGATTACAATGAAGAGCGAAAACAAAACAATGATAAAGGAACTATAGAGAAATCAAACAAAAACTGAACATTGAACTAACATGAACTCTTTTATTTACTGCCTTTTTCTTTTTAATGACAGGGTATGTTGCGAAATATAACTCGTATATAATGCTGAGATATTTGCAAAAATCCGGACCGCAGGTGTATGCGGTGGGGAACGAACGCGCTATTGTCCTTACCGGGGAGTAGCGCACATCACCACCACACCATCCGGGTCCTTC